TTAATTCTGATTCCAGTGAAGTATTTCCTGCTGGAATGGATGGGTGGGAGGGGTGGGTCTGGACCACGCCAGTTTTTGGATCAGTTAGGGAGGAAAGCTGGAAAAGACACGAGAAGGCTGCAAGGAGCCTTGCAGAGCTGTTCCATCTTGCTCCAGAAAGGCAGAGGGAGTCCCCTGGAAGTTCATCCCACTCCTTGGAAATGCCAATATTCAGAGTGGCCCAGGGCTAAAGCAGCAAATGTGGAAGTGTTTGAGATGTCTGTGGTTATCACTGCTGTAGAAACGTCTCCTTCTTTGGTGCTTCCACATCTTTGCACAAAGACAGGGAAGTTCTCCTTGTTTTTTCCCTGTCCAGGAGGAGTTTGATAATTCCTGACTCAATGCAGAGCTTTGACGTGGAGGGCAGTGCTCTCCTCCCCTCCGGGACCAGATCCACGTAGAGGTGGTGGGAGGATGAGCTCACCCATGGGATGGGGCTGGGAGGGCGTTTTTGATGTCCCTGTGGTGTCCCCAAGCTGTGCCAGGGTGCCCAGAGGTGGGTTCGGGGACCCACCCGGAGTGTCCCTTGCTCTGAAAGTTCATTGTCAGGACAAAGCTGAGGGCAGGATGCTCAGGGCTGTGACAGGGAAGGAGAAGAGGCTCGGTGGCTCGGAGAAAGCAGAGGAATGGGAAGGAGGGAAGGCTGTTTACTTCATCTGATCCAATTTTCCTACATGGACAGCGGCAAGACGCAGCTTGGCACGGGTTTGCTTCCTTGGGGAGAGTGAAATCCTGGGCCAGGAGCTGAGCTGCTCCCTCCAAACTTCTCTGAGCTGCTGAAGTGCAGAAAAGGAGGAAAACAGGGGTAGAGGGGCCACCAGGAAGAGCCCAGCAAAAGGAATTGTGGAATACCCTGAGGCAAAAGCTCCCAGAGTCACAAGAGAATTAACAAAGGCAGCTGGAGGGGAGAGATCCCACCACAGAGCACCAGGAAGGGACAATTCCCCTTCTCAGGAATTCTGCTGGAGTCTCGGTGGAGCTTTCCAGCATCCTCTCTGGGCTGGCCATCAGCTGATCCTGCAGCTCTCCAGGAGCACACTGGAGACCGTGACTCAGAGCTCTGCTGCCGGCAGAAGAAGGGAAGAGGCTCCCGAGCTCCTGCCCGCGCCGGCCTCCGGAGAGTCAGAGCATCCTGGCAGGGCCTGGCACACGTGGGGAGCTCCGGTGTCCAGGGAGGGCTGGCAGTGTCCCAGGCCACTGGACAGGGCTCTCCTGGCAGCACTTTGGTGCTGCTGCGGTTTTCTCCCCAGGGGGATTTCTCTGGAGTCAGGATTCAGCCCTGGGCGCTCTCCCCCAGCCCTGGGCACGAGCCAAGGGCTGCACGGGGCTGGTTTGGGGGATTTCTGTGGTGGGTTTCAGTCTCCTGTCGCTGGATCTGACCCTTCCCTGGGCAGGTCCAGCACCAAGGAATTGTGTCTGGTGGTTCCCTCGTGTCCCTGCCCACGGACGATCCCCGAGTGCCTCCCAGCCCAACCCATTCTTCGATCCTTTGGGGGACACTTCAGCCTCTCAGGAAAGGTGGGGATCGGCCACGGGGTGAGGTCCGGATTTTCCTGTCCCTGTGGCTGTGTCTGTCTGAGACACCTGGCAGGATCCCCGGGAGAAGGGACTCGAGGATGCTGTGGAGAAGGGAGCAGGAAACAGATCCCAGCCCTGACTCTTCAACAGCTGCCCCGCGTAGCAAAGTCTGGATTTTGGGGCTGGAGACGCGCACTTGGCTCCCTTGGGAAGTTTGCCTGAGCACAGGATCCTGCTGTCCTCCATCACCACTGGGGCTCCCCCTCGGCAGCCCCCTGCCCTGGGGCTCTCACGCTCCCCGGGCACCTTTTGAGAGCAGCCGGGGGGCTGCAGCTGCCCCCACGCCCCGATCCAGCCGCACAAGCAAAGCTCGCTGGAGGTGGCAGGAGCT